ATGAACCAGTCTTCCTCTTCCATCCCCACCAATACGTTCTGAAAGACATAGGCAACGACAGGTCAGCTTCTAGGGGTGACTGGGGTTGGACTCCCCTGCAGCTGGCTTTCGTTTGTGGAGACTCAGTGAGCCGTGGCTGGGAGGCCACAGTGGCCTTCGTGGGAGACTCCAAGTCATAGCACCGGCATCCACAACCTCCCCAAGCCCTGTCAGCTGTTTCAGAAATGGCCGCTAAGAGGTTTTAGCAAAGTACCTGCAAGGTAAGAGTGCACCCGGGGAGTCGTTCCTAGGAACTTCATCCTGTCCAATTTGTAGATGAGGAAACTGGGGACAGCAAGGAGAGAGGCTGCTGAGGAAGGAGAGGTGTGGGGAGATGCACCAGGAATGCCACGGTACTGCTGGAGGGTCAAGTCGATGAAGCCCACTGGCAGGAATGCATTTCATAAGCTGACATCGTGGTAGGAGGGATCGTCACTGCTTCCATATTTGCTTTGGAAGGTTGACCGGGAAAGGGTCTGTGATGTAATTCAACTGCTGTTATTTTTTAGGAAGATAAACCCGGCTACTTTCATGGCAGATTAAGCTATCCATTCCATCATTCAGAGGTGATTTTACTTGATGGCCCATGTGTTCATCTGGGTCCACTGAGAAACAGACACCAGGATGGAATGAAAGGTGCAAGGATGTGATTAGGGAAGGCGCACACAAGGGGGACAGTGGGCTGAGAGCAGGATGAAGATCGACAAGACAACAGGCTGCTGTCCAAGTCTCAGCCTGGGTGCAGGAAACAGGGAAGCAGATTGGGTGGGTGACCTTAGCCACCATGGTGTCTAAGGGAAGGCTTTGCAAGGTTGTTGGAGAGTCCTTGAGCCAGGCTCATTTATCACAGGAGTGCTGGGTTTCCCAGAAATGGGCTTGACTTGCCTTGGTGTCACTGTCATCCTCCGTTGTTGGCTGGGAGCAGCAAGTAGGAAGGATGGCCTTAGTGCAATGGTGCTGTGCCACAGTGACATAATGGTGCCATGCTGCAATGACCTCATGGTGCCACGGTGCAATGGTGCATGCGGTGGAACCATGCCATGGTGCAGTGGGTCAGTGGTGCCATGATGCCGGGTGCAAGAGTGCAATGGTGCAGAGATGCAATGGAGCAGTGATTTCAGAGTGAGGCCCCCTCTCCAGGCTGCCACAGCTCACCTGCACAGAGCTTTTCTATCTTAGGAGTTTGTCTCTTCCGCAGAAGAGGTTTGGACTTGGGATGAGAATCACCAGCTATGAGACCTGGGGAAAGTTGTGTCCCTTCTCTGAGCCTCCATCTTCTCGGAGCCTCCATCTCCTTCTCTGAGCCTCCATTTCCTTCTCTGAGCCTCCCTCTTCTTCTCAGAGCCTCCATCTCCTTCTCCGAGCCTCCATCTCTTCTCTGAGCCTCGCATCTCCTTCTGGAGCCTCGCATTTCCTTCTCCTGAGCCAATCATCTCCTCTCTAAGCATCCATCTCCTTCTCTGAGCCTCTATCTCCTTCTCTGAGCCTCCAACTTCTTCTCTGTCCAATGGGAACAATGACCTCTCTTCCTCACACCTCGCCATGGCGCTGCTGGAGGATCAAGTCGATTAAGCCCACCAGCAGGAATGCGTTTCATAAGCTGGCTTCATGGTAGGAGGGACTGTCACTGCGGCCACCTCCTCGAACGTTTCTCAGCCACCACATCTAAGTGCGGTGGGTGGGTGGTGGACAAAGTCATGGGTGTGCAGAAGGAACAATGTTTTTTCCGGTTCGAAGTTGCTGTTTGAAATAAAAAGATGGACAGTGCTGCGCCTGGTGTCCTTTCGTCAGGAGGCCTGTGGGTCAGAGCGGCTGCTCTACTCAGAAGGGACCCAATGACTCTGGGCAACGCCTTCATCCTGCCTCTCTGTTCTCACAAGTCTTCCTAGGAGGGGTCTCACTGCCGTCTTGGCTGCCAGACTCAAGCCCTGGAAGGGGCATGGGGTTGGGGGAGCCCCGAGGGACACCCCGGGCCTCCATGGCTGTGACTTCTTGACTTGGGAGTTAAGGGCACTGCGTCGAGCTTGTGGGAAGGGCCATGGAGCTTACATCTAGGACAAAAGGTGACCTCTCTCAGAGATAGAAACTTACTCCCATCTGCCCGTGAAAATAAATCCAGATCAAGAGCCAATCTGCTGTGGTTCCGCGGAGGAGTCTGCTGCTCCATAATTCGTCTTGGTCACTCGTTCTGTTTTGGCGAAGAATTTTCCTCCTGCTGTGATCTTGTGTTTCGCCATCTGGGTCAGCGTTCCCCAACCTTTTTGGCACCAGGGACCAGTTTCATGGAAGACAATTTTTGCACTGAGCAGGGCAGGGGATGGTTTTGGGATGATTCAAGTGTATTACATTTACTGTGTGCTTCATTTCTACTATTATTACATTGTAACATATAATGAAATAATTACATAACTCACCACAACATAGAATCAGTGGGATCCCTGAGCCTGTTTTCCTGCAACTAGGACAGTCTCATCTGGGGGTGATGGGAGACAACGACTGTGCCTACAGCCTAGCTGGGGTGGATTCAGAGGGGAGAGCCTCGCTCTCAGCAGACGCTCCCTAATGCACCCCCTCTAAGTCAATCATACTCCAAGGATAAGGCCCCTTCCCTGGAGCAGGGGCTGAGAGCTGAGATGAAATTCCACATTGTAACTGCAGTGGGTTGAATGATGCCCCCCGGCCCCCGCCACCATTATGTCCACCTGGAGTCTCAGGTGACCTTATCTGGATAAAGTGTCTTTGCAGAAGTGATAGTTAAGAATCTCAAGATGAGCATCACCTTGGATTACCTGGATGGGCCCCAAATCCAACGACAAGTGTCCTTCTAAGAGAGACGCAGGAGGAGATTTGAGACAGAAAAGGAAAAAGAGAAGGAGGCCATGTGAAGACAGAGGCAGCCAAGGGATGCCTGGAGCCCCCAGGAGCTGGAAGAGGCAGGAAAGATCCCCCCACTACAGCCTTGGGAGGAAGCCAGCCCTACTGACACCTTGCTTTCAGACTCCAGGTCCCAGAACTATAAGAAAATACATTTCTGTTTTTCTTTCTTTTTTTTTTTTTTAGATGAATTCTCACTCTGCCACCCAGGCTGGAGTGCAGTGGTGTGATCTCAGCTCACTGCAGCCTCTGCCTCCCGGGTTCAAGCGATTCTCCTGCCTCAGCCTCCAGAGTAGCTGGAATTACAGGTGCACACCACCACGCCCAGCTAATTTTTATATTTTTAGTAGAGACAGGGTTTTGCCATGTTGGCCAGGCTGATCTCAAACTCCTGACCTCAGGTGATCCACCCACCTCAGCCTCCCAAAGTGCTGGGATTACAGGCGTGACCCACTGTGCCTGGCTACATTTCTGTTGTTCTAAGCAAATACACGAATATGCTAGTCATTATTATCATCACTGCCATCGTTGTCATTGCTAAATCTTCCCCATGGGCCAGAAACTGCACCAAACATGCATTCACTCATCTCACTTAACCTTCAGGCTGAATCTATGAGATACATCTATGAGGACAATCATATTATGTAAAAGAGATGCCTCTGCCACAGCAGCACCCTTGCCCTGAGTCATGCATGTGCTGAGGACAGGACTGACATTGGAGCCTCAGTCTCCCCGGCCCTGCAGCCCCAGCTCTTAACCACTGAGCACCACAATCTCCAAGCGGTAAGCTGGTTGTCTAGCTCGAGTGCAGGCGCCTGCGATTCGCCAGGGCGGTCCCTGCTATGATGCCTGCCACTTGGACAGCGAGGAGGAAATCCACTGGTTCCCAGGAGCCATGTGCATTTCATCCTCTTAGAGAGGGAGACGGGATTTTCTCCTCTGTCACAGCTCTGGGAGCCAGTGTATCTTGGATAATTAGAAACATTGCCAATAATTTGCTCCAAGCACTGCAAAACACAAGAGTGATCGCCATGAGGTCCTGTGACACCTGAGATCTTCCGTGTCACGACGCTGCTCCCTGCCACGGACGACTGGAACTTCCGGAGGATGAGCTCCACGATCCAGAGCATGGGCTGGGAACGCAGGTGCACTGGGGGTCTTGTCACCACCACTTTGTCACCACGTGGATTCGAGAAGTCACCTCTCGGAGCAGGCGGTTCCTCTTCGGGGAGAAGGGGCATCTCCCTCCCTACCGGGAATGTGGCCGGGCCCAGGCCCACTTGCCGAGTTTCGTTTACGATGCGACTGTGTTGTCCGGGGCAGGGGATGAGCAGCTGGTTTTTAATGGGGCCAGAGTTTCTGTTTGGGAGGATGAGAACGTTCTGGAGATAGATGGTGGTGAATGTTCTTGATGCCACTGAACTGTGCAGTTAACACATCTTTACATTGTGTATACTTTACCACAATAGAAACGCCTGCGTTTCTAAATTCCCTTGAAACGCAGGAAGATCTGGCAATGTGGGGTCCACTTGCTGGCATGTCAGAGACGGACCTCTTGGAGGGCTTGTGCCCCGGTCCCCACCTGCCCTCCTACTGCCTTCCTGTCACAGAGGCTGAGTGTCCGTTGCCGCTCACCCTAATGGACTCCCATTTATCCTAAAGGCGAATTGCTCCTTCCCTGCGTCCATACCTCTCCGAAGGTGGGAAGAGCCAGAGATGGGAGACGGGCAGTAAGACTGACTTTTCACAACGTGACCACTTTACTGATTTACACATCACTGCTCCCTCTAAGCCTGTGGTTCTCAGAGCGGGCCGCATGTTGGGAGTCGTGAGAGGGGCAAGGCCTTTCCCACCCCATCCCCAACCCCGGACCGGCTGAGGCAGAGACTCTAGGTGGCCCGGCCATCTGTGTGGTACCAAGCCTGGTGCTCCCGACTTGGATTCGTGGAGGCACGTTCGCGCCCACCACGCCCTGCTCAGGGGACTGCCTTGGTCACCCTGTGGGAGAGGCGATGGGACTGACCGGGCCGGCAGGCCACCTCTGGATGAGCAGCACCCCACAGGGAGGAGACCCCGACATCACTCACATCGTGCCGAAGTTTCCCGAGGACAGTGGGGAACACGCCCATTGGGCTTTCCATTCCTGCGAATCCCACCTTGCTGAAGCCAGAGCCGTAGTCACAGATGAGGGGCACACTGTCCATGGCGGTGAGGCTGTGGAGGAGAACACGCGGTTAGCCACGCCACTGCATGGCACTGGTCCCTGGGGCAGGCGCTGTGCTGGGCGTTAGGATCAGGGTTCATAGCGCCTGGGAGCCCAGGGCAGTGTGGGTGGCCCCCCACACCCAGAGCTGGGCCCTGGGCAGGCAAGAGCCACTTCCAGGATGCTGTGTGCAGTTTGCTGGAAGGGGGTCCTTTCCGATGACCATTTGCACATGGCTGCCCTGGAGAAGGGAGGATTAGGAGGGGCCCTGCACTAAGGCTTTGGCCTCCACCTGTTTCTAGCAAACTCTGTGACCTGTTTCGCAGCCACTTATCTGAAGCAGCCCGTCTCCCCTTCGTGGGAGGGGAGACCCCAAGACGAGCTGGGCCCTGGGTGGTCTGCAAGCTGTGGTCCCAGCCAGATTCCTGACTTCCAGCTTCAACGCCACCTCATCCGGGAGGCTTCACTGGCCTCCTGGCCCTGGTTGAAACCATTCTCTCCCTCTGCTTTGCTTCTAGAGAATGTTTTCCATATTTTTGCAAGTTTAGAAAACATGCAGAAAGATACAGAGCATCAAAATCACCTGAGGTCCCCGCCTGTGGTCACCCCTCTGATATTTTGGCATTTCTGTTTTCAACCTACTTTTTCTTAGACAAAGTCTCACTCTGTCACCCCAGGCTGGAGTGCAGTGGCATGATCTTGGCTCACTGTAACCTCCGCCTCTCAAGTTCAAGGGATTCTCCTGCCTCAGCCTCCTGAGTAGCTGGGATTACAAGTGTGAGCCACCACACTGGGACAATTTCTTGTATTTTTAGTAGAGACAGGGTTTCGCCATGTTGACCAGCCTGGTCTCAAACTCCTGACCTCAGGTGATCCGCCCACCTCGGCCTCCCAAAGTTCCAGGATTACAGGCGTGAGTCACTGTGCCCAGCCTGTTTTCAACCTACTTTTATGCAGTGTATAGGTTTTTTAAAAATCGACTACCCTCAAAAATGAATGAGTCAATTTTCTTTTTTGAATATTGCATTGTGACTAAATATTTGTCATGACAAATGTTTTCTTCATTTTATAAGTGACTTTTGGATCTTTTTTCAATAAAGAAAGAATACAGGCCCATTGTAGAAAATAGAGAAAACCGTGAAGAGAAAACTGTGAAGTAAAAACCCTTTCCAAATCCTGCTAATCAGAGGTAACCTTTGTCAATATTCAGCTATCTACCCTGATAGTCGGCACAGAAAACAGAGGGGTCTCCCTTCATCTAGTGCCTCTGTGAACAGCTGTATGAGGTGCAACTCAGTGGGGCACCAGGGCGTCTCTCACTAAGTTGCTAAGGTATACACACTTACATATATTACAGTATATGTGGTTTTGTGTTAGACTTTTCAGTGGAACCTTATAGCCATTTGCGTGTTATGGAGTATTCGATGGAAATGTTTTCCTTCTAATGTCATCTGCCACACCTGCTATGAATCCTCTGTGGAGCCTGTAGGTCCTATTTTTTTTTTTTTGGCACCATCAGCAACCCTGGGATAATCTCCTTCATCATCCCTCTTTTTCCTGCATTTTGGATCAGCCCCTTTCCATCACCTCCTTCGAATGACTAGTTGGAAGAGCAAGAATTTTTAAAGGCTCCTTAAACATTTTGCCAAATTGCTGTCCAGAAACATCGGTCAGTTTGCCGCAGCCATGTCAGGCCCTCATCGCATGGAGCTGCCGTCATCTCTGCAGGCCCCTGTCCCACTTCTCCACGTCAGGCCCACACTCCCACTCTGAGTACCGCATGCTCAGCTGATATGGCTGGATGGCTTTTGAACCCACCTGGTCTCTCATGTGGGGGGCTTCATAACCTTCCTCTCTGGAATATCTGCTGGTGTCCCGTCTGTCTGCATGCTGACTGCGTATCTGCAGCCAGCCTGTTACTTCTGGAAGGCCAGGCATCGGCTGCCTATTCATTTCTGTTCATCCTCGACATGCAGGGATGGAAGAGGCTTTGGTTACTACAGTTTTGTAGTATATTTTGAAGTGTTATAATGCCAGCTTTGTGCTTTTGCTCAGGATTGTTTCGGCTATTCAGAGTTTTTTCTGGTTCTGTACAAAGTTAAACATTTTTGTAATTCAGTGAAGAATGTCCTTGGTATTTTGGTAGGGGTTGTGTTTAATCTGTAGATTACTTTAGGTACTATGATCATTTTAACAATATTTTTGGATCCATGAGTATGGGATGTCATTCCATTTGTTTTTCTCCTCTTCAGTTTTTTGTCAGTCACTTCTTAAATTTATTCCTAGGTATTTCATTTTCTGTAGCTATTATAAATGGCATTATCTTCTTGATTTCCCTTTTAGCTATTTCATTGTTCATGTATAGCAACGCTACTGATCTTATATGTTAATTTTTTATCTTTACTAAATTCATTCATCAGTTCTAAAAGATTTTTGGTAGTGTCTTTAGGATTTTCTATATATAAGATCATATGGTCTGCAAATAAGAATAATTTGACTTTTTACTTTCTAATTTGCAACAGAGCCTGAGACATGAGGGGCACTTGACAGCACACGAAACCCTTGGGTGCATTTCCTGGCCTGACCCTCACTGCGGTGACAGGTGTGATGGCCTCAATGACGTTGATGATAGATAGTGATGATGATGACAATGATGACGATGGCTATGACAATGATGACAACAATGGCGATGATGATGATGGCATAATGACAATGATGACAATGATGATGATGACTATGACAATGATGATGATGACATTGACAATGATGACAACAATGATGATGATGTCAATGATGATAACAGTAATGACAGCAATGACAATGATGATGATGAAAAAATGATAACAATGACAATGATGACTATGACAATGATGGTGATGATGACATTGACAATGATGACAATAACAATGATGATGTCAATAACAGTAATGACAACAATGACAATGATGATGAAAATAACAATGACAATTATGATGATGACTATGACAATGATGATGACAATGATGACATTGAGAATGATGACAATGACAATGATGACATTGATGATAATGACAATGATGACAATGATGATGACACTGATAATGATGATAACAATGACAGTGACGATGACGACGATGATGGATTGTCTTGATATGCAAGGCATTTCCCCCACGTAAATCAGTAAATAGCCACTGTGGGAGCAGACATCCAAATACCTTGCTCTTTCTACCAAGTGCAGACACAGAAATAAATTAATTCCAGGGCTGGTCAAGCTGTTTTCATTTTTTCTCTGGTACAATAGCATTTACATTCAGGGAAATTAGCCCTGATGTCAAAAACGTGGTTTTTCCTTTGCTTTGTTTTAAATCATCTGATGTTGGCTTCCACTCCCACAGAAGGAGGGAAATGAGGCCATGAGTAATTGCACTGCTCTCCTGAGCCAAAATATTTTCATCTGGGGTGTGCTGAGTGGAATAAAAACTGGTTCAGCGCAGGGAAGGCTTTTGCCTCCAACGGGCTGAAACCCTGAGCTTGCCCCAGAATGATGTGGCCAACCAAGCAGCATGTTTCTACTTTACTCCAAATCCTCATTGCTCTGAAACTTACTTGTGAATCCACATATTGACTATCAATGCACAGAAGTAAAAATCTGAAGAAAGCATAACAGAAATTGGGAGAGGCCAGCTGCAGTGGCTCACACCTATCATTCTAGCACTTCAGGAGGCCAAGGCAGGAGGATTGCCTGAGCCCAGGAGTTCGAAGCCAGCCTGGGCAACATAGAAAGACCCCATGTCTACAAAAAATTTAAAAATTAGTCAGGCATGGTGGTGGCACACATCTGTAGTCCCAGCTACTTGAGAGGCAGAGGCAGGAGGATTGCTCGAGCACAGTTCGAGGCTGCTGTGAGCCAACATCGCACCACTGCACTCCAGCCTGGGCAACAGAGCAAAACCCTGTCTCTAAAAAAAGAAAGAAAGAAAGAAAAAGAAACCAGAAAAGACTGTTCAACTACTGAGAAAAGAAACTGTTGGTTCACATCACTGACATGCAAAAGGAAGGGAAAGAAGGCATTGCCCTGTTTTAGGTGCTGTCCTGGGCACATAACTAATACCAGAGAGAGAACTGGTGACAAACAGGTGCAGAGAGGTAAGAGGTGGAGCCCACCCATAGTCCAGGCAGGGTCCCTCTGTGTCATTGCTCTGCATGATGCCACTATGAGGTGCCTAGTAGATGTCATGGCCTCTTGACCTAGTTGGGGCTTCTGGAAGCTGGCCCAGCAGCCTCCTAGAGTCTCTACGTCTCTTTCCACTCTAATCCTGCTCCAGTCTTAAGATTTGGATGAGGTGGGCCCTGAGGGCTCACAGGACCCATGCTGACCATTAAGATTATTCCACTCCTTGGCTACTGCAGTTGGCTAAATAATGGTCCCTGTCCTCCTGCCACATCCTAGTGTCCAGAACCTGTGTATATGTGACCTTCCATGGCAAAAGGGACTTTGCAGGTATAGTTAAGTTATAGATCTTGAGATGAGGAGATTGCCCTGGATCATCTGGCTGCACACCAGATAATCACGAGGGTCCTTATAAGAGGAAGCGGGAGGTCAGAGTCAGAGAGATTGGAAGATTATACACTCCTGGCTTGGAAGACGGAGAAGTGGCAGCGAGTCAAGGCATGTAAGCACCTCCAGGAGCTAGAAAGAGCAAAGAAATAGGTTCTCCCAGTTCCTAGAGCCCCCCAGAGGTAAAATGGCCCTGCAGACACCTTGATTTTGGCCCAGTGAAACCCATTTCAGATTTCTGACCTCCAAACTGTCAGAATACATTTCAATTGTCTTAGGTCAAAGTTTGCGTTGATTTGTGACGGCTACCCTTGACCAGGGTGGGCATGTGATGCCAGCCATGGTTTCTTCCTGGGATCTTGGTCAACTCTCAGGAAGGATACCCTCTTCCCTTGGATTCAGGATCTGGGAGAACCTGAAGTGAGCCTGGAGTTGCCCTGCAGCTGCCTTGCAGCCCCACAACCAGAGCTTCCC